GTTCGCGCACGGCGGGAGGCGTTTGGCCTCTCTTCCCGCGCTCTTTCAACACGCCGCCTCCAATTCGATCGCCTGCGCTGAAAGAGATGTCCCAAGGTTGGGGCACGTGCGTTTGCTTAAAGCTGGAGGCCCGAGGCGCTCGATAGGGATCTGTACGTTTTAGGCGGAATAGATCGATGGCAAAGTAAATATTAAAATAAGGCCGTGATGGGTGTCCGCACTCCGGTTGGTCAATCTGCTCGATAATATGATCGGTGGCCGCAGTGCACACCGTTGACTTCTGGTCTCAACTTCTTGGGCTCTGCTTATCATTTAGATACTGAGAAGCGTAGGTAAGTACCTCTGAGAAATCTTTTCTTTAGTAGATTTATTGTGGTTTCAATTTTTTTCCTTCGGTTTCTCATTTTTATTCTCGGTAACCAGCCAAGAATAAAATTGAAATAGTGTAGTTCCATTTATATCTAGAAATAATTTATATCTAGAAATATACTACACCAGCAAACAACCATTTTTTGTATTCATGGGCAGAATGGTGAATTATCATATTAGATCTCCATGCACTTTGACGGAATATTGCACATGTAACGCTAAAAAATATGTAGATGTATGTATGGGTTGGTATAAACTTTAACGTAATAATACTTTGAATAAGATATTAATATTTCTATTATTTATGAATCAAAAAATATACTTATGAATTTTTTCACTTAGGTATCGGAATTTTATACAATAAAAAATGATTTCACATTTTCGCTTATGTTTTTTTACAATTGGGTAAGAAAAACTAGAAACATGTAAACGCACATTTATGTTACTGTTTCAATATTGTTTAAACTGATGTTCACATAAATAGGATGATGTTGCAGTTTTGGCTTTAGAATAAATTTTATTACATTCCTGAGGAAACAGCCCGCAATGCGTCAAAGGTTTATGGATTCCAAACTTTGCAAAACACCCTGTTGATATTCGTGAGTAAGCAGCGAATGAGATCGACGGGCTTCTAAACTACACGCGTCAGAGGATTGAGCAATTTAATGACCTGTCAACGTTGCGTCATTTCACGATATTGAATGCTTCCGCAATAAATGTAACGCAGTGTAAGGAACACTAAATTCGTTGTAAAACCAAACGCAGATGTACGGCTAGAACTATAGGTGGCAGAAAGCAAAACAGGCTCCAGGAGGTGCGATAACAAGTTAGCATGAATACATACTATATATCTTGATTCTTCAAGGTTATCAAATATCAAGTATTTCATCTCGAATTATGTCATGGAGGCACGGGGCACGTTGTGTAAGCACTAGACGCAAATGCTAGAGAAGAGAGTAACCTTTTGCGCAGGTATTGCAGCATACGTAGAATACGCAATGCGCCACAGTATTGTGTGGAATGCAACGTAGTCTCTCTGAAAACACGTTGTTTTCACGTGCTACTGTGTGAGGAAGAAGTAACCCATCTTTCAAGTGAAATGATGAAAACATATTTCGAAACCATCTGTTAGTAAAGTATTGTAATATTTCAATGAGAAAATAAAGATGATTTGCAATGGAATTTAAAGCAACGTAGTACGTAACGAATTTGAAACACTTTCTCATGCTTTGTCCTTTCAACAATGATTAGAAACATCGTAGTTCCTTTCACTTCTTTTCAGAAATAGTGAGGTATCCGGTACCTCACATGAACGACATTTTTGAAAGAAATCATAGGTATTTACAAAACTGCTGCCTATCAGACATTGATATGTACACATGATGAGTAACCTCGTTGAATTTGAGTCTTTGAACGGGCTGAAATTGGTTATCTTGAGAGGTTGTTAGGACGTTTACAAATTGAAATTTACACTCTTCATAATTCGCCGTCTGATTTTGCCACTGAAACCACTCTCACCCTCTTTCATAATTTTCCGGAGAGTGCCTATGCACAAGCGTAAACAGTGTCAAACAGAAGCGAAGCGTTAAGGAAGCTACTCCACTTGCCACTTCCTCTATTAGAATATATCTCACTTCGCTGAAGGATAAATCTAAAACACTGACATACACACACACACACACACACACACACACACTCTACAGAAGAGACATGTAATTTGTCACAAAATCATATATTATTTCTAGTAAAGAGACACATTTTCCACACGAATACTGCCAAAGGTGGTTCAGAGCATCAACTGACTCGAGCAGTGACTCGAACCGGTCCTAGGGTTTGAGTTCCGGCGGTGGCAAGATTTCCGACGCTAGCTACATAACTAAGTCAAATTCAGCCGCTTTTTGGAGGAGAACTCTTATCAGTAGTTTTCCATAGTTTCTCCGATCAACATCAGGCGAATGCCGGAGAAGCACCCTAAGAAACGGACCACAGACCGCGCGCGATCTTTCCTCCCTCGTCTTTGTCGTATCCTCACCCCATACTTACACACGATTACTGTCACATGCTATCACATTTGTCTGCAGAGCGGTCGGGAGCTCAGAGCTTGTCTCAAGTGGAGCTGTACTCTACAGGTGAGAGATACCTGATTGGTGAAAATCATTGCCAGCCGACGCAGCAATGGAATCTTGAATCAGTTAATCAATCCACACGAAGTCCTTTAAGAAATGTACGTCGCTTTTAAGGCATTTGTAAGTACAAAGCAGCAATTTGACAAAAATTGTTTTACATATCTGAAGAATTTAATAATGAACGTATAAAATTACAATTCGAATAGTCTAACGCCATAGTTATAGCTTTGTGTTGGAAGTTGCGTCGTACCACGCTTGCAGACGTATGCCATAAGCATATCTTTTACGTAAGTGCAACACCCTATAGATCGCAGGTTTGCATGTTCAGTTCGCAGGTGATTGCTGGTGTTTTGGTGCTATATTTGGCATAGAAATTGATGGGAATTGATGCGTTGCGCAGTCTGAAGATTGTTTTATGTAAATCGATAGATGGAAGTCGGGAACTCGCCGGCAAGTGTAACATGCGTGGTGAAGTAAGTCAACTTGATCGAAACATTACACATACCTTGCATAGCCAACTTAGTTGGTATTTGTATATAGCCAAAATATGTAATTTAAAACGTAAAATGATAAAAGAATAGAATTAGAGTAACAAAATTTTAATGTTTCAAGTTACTCTTTATGAAAAAATGAGGGAAATTTACGCTCAAGTTCAGGTAGTTTCTAATAAATTATCGAGAAATTAACAAAAAGAATTTAAGACAACAGACATGCTTTTAATAATAACGTGAAAATTTTCAATTGTTTCTTAGTTTTCATAATTAGTTAGTCTTAATTTTCATTAATTTAGTTTGCTGTAACAAGAACTCAAAAATACTATTTGTGACCTCAGTTTGGAGAAATGCGACTTTCAAACTATTTATTTTTTCGAATTTAATTAGTGCCCGATAAAAAGGAAATCGAATAAAAGTCACTATGCTGACCAATACGTCCATCTCAATCAGGAACCGAGTATCACAGGACGCCTCTACAAAACAAATATTTATTACGAAACTTGCAATCATTTGGCTGTTAACTTTTAGAAACAACCACTGCTAAACGGCTGTCCGCACAATTCCATCGAAGCCGTAGAGAGGGTAAAACCTTTACAGAAGTTTCCCCAATACTTCCCTGAGCCTCGCTAACTTCGCTTCAACTCGGTCTCCCAATATCGCGGCGCCGCTGGCCCCGAGGCTCGCACGAATCGCTGAGAGGCAAATATTTCCGCTGGGCAGCGTTGCGGCCCAATGTTTTCACGGTCCTCGCCAAACCAAACCGACGGCACATCCGGGGGCACAGCCGCGCTTCGACAGCCCTCGCGTTCCCCTCGAAGTTGCGGAAACGCGCCGACAAAGGCTCCTGTTGTTCGCCTGCCCACTCCCGCGGGAGGAGAGGAATGCCGATCGAAAAACTGCGTTCGACGCTCGAAATTGCCCTTCGCGTCATCTAAGATATTTTTGTTGTTATTTAAGGTCGCATTAACATTGCCAGGTCATTAGCCACATTCACTATTGCATTAAACCGTATGGTAAGTGTGAAGATGACATGGTATGATAGTGAAGA